CTTTTAATCCCTTGACGCCGGGAGTTGGGATTTCCCGGCACACATTCCATTGCCGGCAATGAGACGCACCGCGACCGCCAGCGCCAAGGGGTTAACATATCCTTGTAAAACCACATACTCTTAATTTGTACCCGTGTCTTTATCTCTTATTGATATATAAAATTATATATACACATGAATCATAAAGCTACATAAAAACTTGGCAACAATAAAAAGGATAACACACAGTACATTCCAAAGGAAAATGAATAACTTTTTATACGGGATAAATCTCATTTTCTAGTTTGTTTTTTTTTTATTGTGTTTTCTGTTAAACTTTCTACAAAAGTTGTATAAACGGTTAAGTAGAGAATCTCTATCTACAAAATGCTTTTTTTCATGTGGATTACATTACTTGGTGTACATTTAATATAATAAACTGACATTTATAAGCACATAAAAATCATTTTACGTAATACGCTGCGAAATACGTTGACTCCTCCTCCGCCTCACCCCTGAAGTGCCTCCTCCTCTATCCTCCCCATCACTTTCATCGTCCTCTGTCTCAGCTGCATTGTTTTTAGGGCTGCCTCCTCCAAGCAGCGAGGTAATTGCTTTGTTACGAGCATTTGTGCTAGCTGACACCTCTCCATCTTCTTCCTCTTCATCAGGATCCAAATGTTCCATAAGGAGCTTGAACTATTAAAAAAAAGATTAGTCCACATTGTAACTTTAAAAGTAAACACTTATGTCACACTACATGATGGATGAAACAAACAGCAACATAAAACAGAGTAAAACAAAACGCAGAACAAACGTGAACAGCTTATGTTTTGTTCTACAAACTTAACTTCACTATCTTTTTTTAGTAGATATATAAAACTTTCTTCATGTGTTTTCAAAATGGTAAGTTTTCTCAACTGTTACTGGGAGAGGGGGAGCAATAATGAACTACACCCAGTCTCTGTTTCCATGATGGAAACTGACAGGATAAGGTGAACAAGTTATATGGAAGAGATACACAAGATGGATACCCGAACTTAGAAAATACTCCATAAAAGTGAATATTCTTCAGCTGAAATTACTTTTCATTCCGTTTAAACTTATTAGAAGTCTTTGAAATATAAACATCCTGAAAGGAAGGTCAGTCTATCACATCAGATAACTAGGTACTTAAAATTTTGAAATGTTCATCCAATACACCAGCACGTACTTTCAAGTTTATACAGTATTACCTAGTTTGAAAGGATTTCAGGTTTTCTGCAAAGCAACTTTACTTACATCTAAGTACTGTTTTACTATACTCCTCTTCACTTCTTCAGTGATCTTGGAATTAGCCATATCACTCCGCAGAAAATCCAAAGTTTGTTTTGGATGGAAATGCACTCCTGTCTTCCTGTTTATAGCTTTATCATAAACTTTTGCAGATTCAGATGGAGAATATTTTTGAATTTTACTGTTTAAAGAAAAAAACGGAGAAGAACTTTTAAGGAAAGTCCAGACTAATTTGAACAAAAAGCTTTAAAAATCTTCAAGTAGTTGTATTTTAATAATTCCATATACAATACACAACGCATCAAGAAACAAAATAATTCGGTTTTTTTAAGGCAGAATTTCATTACCTTCAAATTAATGCATTTGGTTTCTCTCTTACAAAAATCTATTGCTTAAACAAGTAGTTATGATCAACTTAAATAAAAAAATCTCCCAAACTTAATCCCTACAAATATCTCATTGCATAATGAGTGGCCTATTCTCTAAATAACCTTACCTATCAGAGAATCCACAGAGGTTCTTTAAATGCTGTTTCAGCATCAAAAGTAATAATATGCCTTGGGAGACATTAGCAAATTCAATTAAAGGAGCTGAATTTTCAGGTAAACATTTCATCACAGCATTTATATCATTTTCTTCATCAGAATCTGAATCAGAGTCCACTCGTTTCCGTAACCTCCGAGGCTTAGAAGCTTCCTCCTCACTTTCGCTCTCGCTGCCACTGTTACTGTCACTCTCACTCTCCTCATCTGATGAAGGCTTTCTTTCCTTTTTTTTGTCTTTCACCATAGACTGCAAGGCAGAGAAATTAACACACATTCCAAAATTAGAGTAAGTATCATGTATGTTTCCAAAAAAAATCTTTTCAAAATCATTCCTGGCATAAATTAGCAAAAATTCGCCGAACAAGGTTATTGATTTATAACTTGATAATTTTAAATTTCTTTATGGCAAAAAGATACTGAAAAATTTATCCAAAGCCCAGATTTTTTTTGCAAGGAACTGAAACAACAAGCACTCCCATGATATGATATCATTAAAAGACTCTCAAGTTCATTAGCAGTTACAGTAAAATACAGTAGAAGGCCAAATACAATAAATCAGAAAGAAAATTCTGTTTTTCTTTCACCTGGATGTTATTTCTGTGTGTCATGGAAATTCCTGTACTTTGGTACAGACTAGTCCAAGATGGTTTAAATTCTAGTCTCTTAAAACTCCATGACACTAGCTACACTGCTGACCAAACTGACCATAGACAGTATTAATAATAATAATCCATTGCCCCGTCTCTAGAGGTGTTTACCCAACCCTTGAAAGTGTTCAAGGTCAGGCTGGATGGGGCTCTGAGCAACCTGGTCTAAATGAAAAGTGTCCCTGCCTATGACAGGAGGCTGGAACTATGTGATCTTCCAACCCAAACCATTCTATGATTCTGTTACTAGTTCTACTACCTGTAGAGCTACAGAATTTCACATGTGCATTCCTACTGCACATGATATGATTTTTCATGACATACACAATAATGTGCCCTAACCAGGATTTTATGCTTTCTGTGCTGGGTGCTACACACTGGTCCTCAATCTCAAGAATGTGCTTTCCAGCACATGTCTCTTTCTACAGATGAAAAATCCACTTTGGTAGGGTAAGAGTGTAAAGCAATATACTTTCTGGGCACTGTATGTTCAGGCATCAATAAAAGCTGCACTTATTAGTCAGACTGGACATTCTAGAAAGAGGTTTGCGTTCTGACAGTTTGCCCCTTCTACTGTTAAGAGTTGTTCAGGAAAGAAAATCACTGAAATCTTTAAGAAGCAGTCTGGGGAAACCCCCGAAGCTCGCCTCGCTAAGGCTACCTATGTGCTCAATTTTGTTAACATCGCGGAGGGCCAGCGGGATCCACACATGGTCCGGCATTTTGGCTCCTTACAAAAGTCCATACCTGTCTCCCCTGGGGTGAAAGTCAGGGTAAAAGATTTGCACACAGGGCAGTGGTCTCAACAGTGTGAACTATTAACTTGGGGTAGAGGGTATGCTTGTGTTTCCACAGATGAAGGACCACGCTGGGTACCTGCTCGCTGTGTCCATCCTGTATTGGATGAACCACGCCCACAAGTTGCGTGAAGTCCATCTATGGCCACACCTGACAACTGAATGCTACTGCCATGGACTAATAACGAATGCACTGTCTGGGCTGTAACTCTTGCCTGTTCGTTTAGTTGTTTTTGTATTATCGATATTGCCGTGGTCTGTGTCTCCCTTGCAAGGGGCCCCGCAATGGATGACACTCGTTGGCGGTTTCTTTAATACAAAAACAGGGGGAATTGTGGTGGTTCTCCCCCAGCTGGCCTGGGGGATTCGGGAAGAGTTAAAGCTAAGTAGGAACCTTTGTTCAGGGGAGAGTTATGCACAGATCCGGAAATTGTAACAATATGGTTTTCCGGTAAAATGTGCTGAGCACAGCAAAATGTGTTTCGTGACATGCGCAGTAAGCAGAGTTATATAACACCGTTAGTGGCCAATGGAAGAATATTTATGTATGTGGGAACCAGTGGAGAGTTGACATGTGTAGCCTAAAAAGTGTATAAAAGTAGCAGACATCATGCAATAAAGTGTTCCAGCCTCTGGATCCATAAGGGTTTCGTGTCGTGTCCCGCCTCGACCCGCAACAAAGCAGAGGCTTTTTAATTACTGGGTTGTGTATTGCCGTAACAACAGATCCTTATCATGACTCAGGTTCTTATGTGCTGCCTTAAGAAATATTGCCCATCCCTCTTTTGTAATATATTATGTATTTCAAGTCTCTCAGGCAACACAAATGTAACTGCCATTAGCTACTTGATAACAAAATAAACTGTCAACTGGATTTTATTATTAATATTATACAACCAACCACAATAAACTAGTATTCCATGATGATTCTAGGTTCATGTACTTCCAGATGCATGCAATTAATTATTATTCAGCCATATTGGGAAATTATATAGCATTGTTTTCTATTCATATAAGCAGCAATGTAAGTAAAGTTCTAGTTCAACTGGTGTCTACCAGATGCAGGTCAGAACAGGCAGGGTTGCTTGGGTTTTTACAACTGGTTACATACAAAGCAATGCTACTGGTCCACACCATAACAACGGTACACTGAAAAATCGAGCATGTCAGAGAGAAGCTTATGTTGCCACCACAATAAATATAAATGCACATACCTCTTTAAATGACTGTAGTAGGTTGCTACCAGAAACTGATAGTGTAATGTCTATATGATGCATTATAAACAGTGGCTCCTCCTGTGTTTGGTAAGGGAAACAGGCTAGATTGTCTGCTATGTACAAAAGCATATTCACCTCTGTTTTCTGAAAGTTAGAGAAAAAAATTACACAAAAAATTACACACACAAATATTTTGGACTCATACGCTTATCCTGTGTTCCTAACAGTCTGGCACAAAAAAAGGACCAGAATTTTTATTCTATATACCCACCCAAATCCACAGTAAACAATATATATACATGCAATATTTAGTCATACCTGAAGACACGCTATTTCTGATCAGTCTAAACTGAGTATAAAAAGGTACAGAGTGACGCAAAAGTAACAAATGCATTCTATTATATAGGTAAATACCTTACATTACAAAGCAGAAAAAGTACATTAGGGAAATAGCTGTCAATAATTATGTCACAAAAATACATTGTAAGAGTAGAATTTCAGTTCGTAATGCTTCATTTTAGCTTCTTTTTAAGTGAAGGAAATGTGGTGCTTACTGCAGTATCATCAAAGAGGTTGAGTAAAGAAATGAGAAAGGCTCGTCTGTGTTGACGGTTCCCTCGGATCATGGAGTACAGGTGTGAGCACAATGCACTGGATGACTCATCGTGTCTAAAACCTCTCACAGGATCTTTCGGGCAGGTATTAATTGCCTGTTGTACCTGGTAAGACATCTTCATACCAGCCACTGCTTTCATCTGAAATGGAAATGTATTTGTTTTTATTCAAACCATTGCTTCCAAAGCACTACAACTTACTCTTTTTCAAGGGATGCTCATCTTAAGTTTAAATTTAAAACATATACTGAAGCAATACTACCTTTTGAGTTGACAAACTTGTGGCAGAGATCAGAATTTCTTATGGACTGCTTTGACTGTAAATTGTGCTAGAAATATACAGCTAATCTGTCCACCCACTAGAGCCAGGTATTCCAGTTTAAATGATTTTCAAGAACACTGAAATGTGTTCATACATGAACAGAATATTTTACCAAATGTATATGCTTGGTATCACTTGTAGTGAAACTAACTGAATCCATATGCAATGGGACTAACAAACAGAAAACGAGATTTTGGGGTTTTGTTTTTTCATATATCCTATAATTTCTGTTGATTTTACTTAATTCAAGGGTCCTGCTCTAGCTTCAGAACAAACTGAATCTCTAGTTAGGCTGCATATTCAATTCTCCTCATACTACCTCTGCCACTGTTCAGAGAAGTTGTCTCAGCATCTATACACTGTGTTAAATCCCAGCTGCCTAACATACCAAATTCCATCTGCTACCCTTCACCTAATGGATTAGGTATCTGTTTGGACGCCATCAGCAGTGCAGTGCTCTGATTGCAGTGCAATACAAGTCCCCATGAAAAGTCCTAGAGTGTAGTACACACACACACACACACTGAACCTAGACTGGGACTTTCTAAAATAAGGACAGTGCTGCAGCTTAATATCAGACCTTAAGCAGAACGATTGGCACTGTGCCACAACTCCACATGTCCTCACTTAGCTCTCAGGTTTTCCTTTCAGCAAGATCCATTTGATCTAAACAGCATCCTATGCTTCTCCTGCTTAGATTACAATTAATAAAGCCTCGGTGCTTTGTACATTCTAATACCCCTACACTCAGGACTTACTCAACTATTACAGTGTTCTCTTCCCTAGTCCGTTGATACAGGAAAACACTGCTGAACATTATGCTGAACACTTGCCCTTCCCTCTTATCAAGCACTACTCAGTGTGGAAAATAGTACTGTGAATTATGAATTAAAAGAAATTTTGGACTAGAAGAGACACTTCAAATTATTTTAACCTGTTTCTCAGAATATCTAAACAGGGGAAACAGTTAAGATCTTCTTTACAACTGTTTAGGTACTGTTTATTTGTGACTTTATACTCTTCTTTTCTGTAGTTAAGGTATATTCAGATGTTAAACTACTAAAGAATATAACAGTATTCTGTAATATGTTAAATTAGAATTACTTACGTGAATGAACCCAGCATATTTTTTGTCTATTTCCACCAACTGCTGGTCAGCTTTATTTCGCATGGAGGGCTCTGGATCTGTGCCCATAGCAATTAAGTATGGCACACACTTGAAAAACAAATGAAATGGTTATTCAGAGGCATTGTACCTCCTTTTTCTCTTTGTTTTTTGTTTTTTGTTTCTACTGAAGAAACTAGGAAGCTCCATGCAACTTTCTACCTAACTACTTTTTGCAAGTTAATAGTACAAAATACTATGAGACACCAGCATTCTAAAGAAGTTAGTTCCCTTTTTCTCAAACTATAAAGTCAATTTAGAATACAGACAATTCCACTAAAAAAAAAACCAAACACCAATTATGACTGAACATGTGCAGTGGCTGCAGTATCAAAAATTTATTACAAAAACATGATGCAAGCAAAGAATAATTGAAATGATAACTGAATTCTGACATTGACTGTGGAGTTCCATAGTGTTTGGAGAACATAGGGGTGATTTAGGTGGAAGCAAGCTGGCACAGGATAAAGAGTAAACCTTGAATTCATAATAGAAATACGCTCTGATGTATATTTCTACATGCTCTTTAGGAACTGCCTGGGCTTTTACATCGTAATCCAAAAGCACATAAAACAGATAATGTGGAATCTCCCTGGCTAAACAATGTAAAGGAGATTTCAAAATATGCTTTCTGTAAAGGCCTCTTGTTACAATAAGAAATTACTAATAACTTAACTAGAAGAGGGAAATTTACATAGTAGGTGTGAAAGTTTCTTAGAACATGAATAACAAGAAGTCCCAGCACAAAAGCGTATCATACCTGAACAGGATGGATGAGGCCCTGGTTTAACGTCAGTGCAATGACATTTAGAGCAAAGTGGCGTACACTGGACTGGTTATGAAAGAAAGCCTCAAGGACCTGTTTGAGATATAGTTGCATGATGGAACTACTCATCCCTGAGGAAATATCACCCATTTCTTTCAGGTCTTCCTGTTTTGCTACTTTTTTCCCTGTGAAAAGGACAAAAGCAACAGCATACTCACCACAGTATAATCATTTGTTTTGCCTTACTTGATGTATGCTGATTTTCAAATTTCAAAATAAATACACATTTCAGCTGTCTTAAAATGATTGCATGAAACAGAGAACAGTCTAATGTCTAAATATATATTAAAAAAACTACAGAGAAACTATTTTAATTTAGGTCTTATTCCTCAGAAAAGATTTTCATTTTTAAAAGAAAGTTTTGGGGTTTATTTTTTATCTGCAAATTAAACTTAGAGGATTTTTTGACAAAAATTACTACTACCATCATTATAGCAATTATGCATTCTAGAGCCCTTCCAGTATTTATACTGGAAATATAAATATCTCGTATCTTTAAAGTAAATAATATCTATTATGCATAAACCTCTTTTTAAATTATTATAAAATACTTTGAGTACATACTAATGACCTGATTACAGTTTTAATTGACTCAGTGCAGACACACAGTAAGTGTATGTAGCAAAGTCAAGTTTTGCATGCCTCATTAGCACAAAAGAACTCAGCACTTACAGTCTCTGTCTGCCTGTTGCATACGTGTATCCTCCTCCTGTAAGTAGGTCTGGAGGTTTTTTAACACCTGGATTTTTAAGTTTACTGAACAGTTCTTATCTGAAAGAATGCTGTTGTACAGAGTCTTCACTTCCTGTTCGAACATTAAACTTGGGTGCTGGATAAATGCAAATCCTAAGGGTGGAAAAAAAAGGAAATAGTTCTCATTATTATAACCTAGAAATTGTATTTCTGCATTTTAAGTCCTTCAATAGAGAGGTATGAAATTTATCTCCTCCCAACAGCATAGGTTTTTCTAGTCCAAACAGTATTGCGTATCCATGTGGACACCATCCACAGCTTATAAGACATTCTGATAGCCATGACAGTTCTATTAACCATGACTCTGTCTGAGGTATAAAAATAGGTGTTGACTCAGGGTGGTGCACTAAAGAGTTAGACAGGTCTGGAACCAGGTCTAGTGTAGTGGCTGTATCTCAATGACTAAGAGCTCTCACAAGAACAAAAAAGGAACATTGCTAAAAATTACCTGTTATTTTTCTCATACTTCTGGAGACAAACATTATCCTGAAACTGTAGAGTGTTACTTATATGGAGGCAGAGAAAATGTGTGAAAATTGATGAATATCATGAATATTTAAAATCATAATAGAAAAAAAACCCCACCATTGAACACAGTAACATTTGTGCCTCTTGCTGTCATTATTCACATATCCATTAAGGTCTTTTCTTGAAAACTATCTGAAATGTTCCCAAGACTACATGTGTTGGAAATACACACTCCAAAACAGTTTTTAGCTGCAGTCTTACCCTCGCCAAGGAACTAGCTGTTCTTAAGTCTTTATTTCATAAAAATTTTTCTAAATTAGTAGTAATACATATAATTTTAGATAGTGTGTGTAGGTTTGTAAGTGCTGCTGACAAACTCTTACAGAGTGTCATAAAAAACATTAATGGGACTATAACACCCTCATTTAATTTACATTTAACTATTTGATTATTTTTTAAATACTTTGGAGGAAAAGCAGACATTAAATGTATTTTTTTATGACCGCAGAAAAATCAGTTCTTGAATGAACACACAGAAAATAAAGGAACATAAAAGAAGAATGGGGGGGAAAATGAAAGAAAATAAAATTATGCAAGAGCAATGTATAAAAATAGCTGTAACAGAGGGAAGACTGAATCACGTTTTTGAAACTAGCTCCTTACAACAAAAAGACAGTGTAGGTAAAGGCTAAGTCCAAGGCAAGACCTCAGTGTGTTAAAATCGCCTTTCAGTCTCAAATCAAGAAGCAGAGAAGCAGGTGGGAAAAGAGGAGGAAAAGGAATTACAGTGGTCTTAGGAGTATGTGGTAAGATTGTGCAGTCTATACAAGTGTATATTGATGTCCATAACTTGGCCACCTCTGTGCATGTCCAACCCATTTTGAAGGTTAATTTTAAAAATTAAAAGCACATGGATGTATGTGTAATAACCCACATTTGCTTTAAGAAGTCTTAACCACCAGTGTTCTCAGGGAAATTTGTATTTTTCCATCCCTGGTCAACTGGGGAAGAAATCTTACTTAGCATAGCTGTCATAGGAGATGAAGAAAGGCACCTGTTGTGTTTTTTTAAGGACTGACTTCACATCTCAAGAGATGCCGTCACACCATTACTCTTCACACCTTTCTTTTCACTCTATTAAGAGTCTTTAGAGTAAGCACTGAACTTGACTAAGACATTAACTGTTAGGTACTTACAAGTTTAGCTAAATTTACTAACAAAATTTTATATCCTCAACTTGCTTTGTAAGTACACATCTGGAAGAGAAGCATAACCAATCATAATTATTAAGCTTAGGATTAAGCTTAACCTCAACAGCAGCAGCACATCCCAAAGCAAAGGCTAAAAACTGTTGAGTGTCCTTACTGAAATGACATGCTGATAGGAAAGTACACATTGTTCATGTGACACCTTTCACCATGTACTGATGTTGAATTAGCTTGCTAGTCCTTTTCACTTTATTGCTGCTCAGAAACATTGAATGACCTTGACAACTTTGCTCAATTAGCAGCCTATAGGATGGAAATTTACACTGTTTATCATACATCCATACATCCAACAGCTACGCTCAGAACAGAACCAGTACTCAGACGAAATCGATATACCACTGAAAAAAGTGAGGTTTAATTAAAATAAAGACTCAAAGTAGAGAAAAAAAAATCTGCAGAATGACTACTGACAGCCATCCCTATTTTAACCCCTTGCCCAAAACCCATCACAATTCAGTCTATAATTTAGAAACATTTTTGGCAAATGCAGAGTATTCCATATCCACAAACAAATAATTATGCCTATGGTTAAGGAATACAGTTCCTACCCCACACGTATTATTCTGTAGAGTATGAGTAAGTGGGACTGAATTATAGTTGTGTTGTGTACATTGATGTAATGCTTAGAAAAACTCCAAGTAGAGGTCCATAGCATTGCCACAACAGAGGCAACTCCAGTGCCACTGATCCTGCTCAGCTGTTTGAAATGGTTTCTCATAGAACATGAAAGGAAGATTCAATCTTGGTCCTTTATCCTCAGAGCCCTAGGCTGAACTGAAGTAGAATATCTAAAAAGTCACCTAAATAGCAACATGAAGAGGCAGATATCTTGTCCACAGTTAAATCATACAATGGAAGCTCAGATGCCTGGGAGACAACTTACTTTAGACAAAGCAATAACCCTGAATTGAACTTTTCCAGAAACCAAGACCCACCTGCCCAAACAAGATTCTCTCAGACACAGAGAGAGACATAGAAAATGAACATGATACGAACCAGACAGTGACAGTTCATTTACCACTGCAAATCACTAAAATGCCATGCTAATCTCACAAAGGCCACTCAGCCAGTATAAACTGCCAGAGTTCCCCTGACTCCTGCAGAATGTTTGCTTCTACACTTAGAATATTCTAAGTTTTTCCAGCACTTTTTTACCTTGTGGACTGACAAACAAGGTTTGCAATTACAATATAGTTGCTTTTGGAGAAGAAAATAACATCTTCATTACCTTGGAAATCTGCTGTGCTTTGCAACTTGGTAACTTGGTCACACACCAAAAGGCATTCACAAAGTCAAAAGCACCTAGACTGATGCAGAATTATGCAACTAGCAACCTTTTGACAGGTTTTCTATAGCCAGTTCTTAAACTAAACATGCAGTAAATTTTGATTCTAAACAAACTCCCTTGTGACTAAACAAATACAGGAATTCCCACTGATACACATATATTTTTACTGGAGCAGAATAATAAAAACTATTAATATTTCTTACCAAGGCCAATAATGGCTTTTGTCTGTACTTCTTCATCTGAATGCTTTGTAAAATACATCAGCAGTTCAAGTACTTTATCTTTAATGTTAACCTGAGGAAATTTAAACAAAAATATTAGCTATTTGAAGATGAAACCGATGTTTTTAATCTCTTACAAAAAGCATAAATATCAAAAAGAAAAAGAAGACACACAATCTTACTGCATAGACTTTGCAAAACCATGTATTTAAAAGCCAAAAAGCTATACCACATGCATTACAAGAAAATACATAGCTCTGAGGAACTAAGAGCAATGTGTTTTCAAATTAAAGTAGAGCATTCAACATATCTAACACACGGAGAGTAAATACAAGTTATTTTACCTTACTGTTGCCCTTAAAATCTTCCTGATCAAAATCAAAATGCCGACACAGTGCTCCAACAGTGAAAAGTGACCTAAGGAGTGCTGGTTTATTGGCAGTTAGTATTGTACTGTTGGGGTCTTCTTGGTGTTGACTTTTTAATTTAGAAAGTGCACCTGCAGTAAGATAAAAGTTTTGATCACAGTATTTAATCATGGTGTATCTCTAAGATAAGACTTGTAGCCAAAAGTGGAAAGTGACAACTACTTGTGATTTTACTTACCATAGTATCTATTAAAACAGGCCCATACAAATTTATAGTTCTGGGTGACCTTGTTCACAACAGCCCCAAGACAGCTCACACAATGCTGAACAACCTAGGAGCAAGGAAGAACAAATGAATTTTATATTTAGAAGTTAAACTTGAGATTTTTGTGAAGTTGTGCAGTAAAAAGCTACGCTGAACTAAAACTAATAACTTAACAGATATCAGATTATGTCCATCTCCTGGAATGCTCTGTAAATGTGCTCAAACTCATTAAAAAAATAACAACATAATGTACAAACTCTAGTAAACCAAGTACACTGAATTTTATGGCTCTGTCTTTAAACCACACTTGCGTGAAGTGGAATTAACTGAATAGTAGCAGATAAAAGCTAACCGTCATGCCATATTTGATGATGAGTTTCATGAGGTCTTCCTCAATAGTGGCAAGAAAGGTCTCACTTGGGTGCTCCATTAGTGGCACTACAAGTTCTAAGATTTTTGCAACATTACAGATCACCATGAAATCATTCTGGGTCTGAAACAACAGCATTTACAGTGTTTAACATTTCTGGTCATGTTACCTATAAGCTAAGTATTACTGATATGCATGGATAGTTAAAAATCCCAAACATTTAAGATATTTTGTAAACATCTGACACAATATTTATATATTTACATCTGCTATTAAATTGTATGTTACTATGAAATCTACTTCTCTTTACTACAGAAGTTCTGGGAGAAAAACAGTCTGGATGAGTAGAATTACAACTCTCATCATGGTTGTATCAGATCTGAAAACCTTTTGGTCTCATATTTTCTGGAGTCCTACAAGAAATCCAGGAACTCTTCCTGACACAGGCAAACTGGAGAACACACAACACCTGGAAACAGGCATCAGCAACAAAATGAAGTTGTGCTGTGACTTAATGTGGCTTAAAGAAAAAGTGATAATGTGCACAAGTGTAAAAGTTACAACTAAAATTATTACTTGTTTGCATTATTATGACTATAATAATGTAATAAGTATGGAACCTATGAAAACCTATGGAAAATATTTATCTATATTTATCTATTACAGAGACATCCTGAAAATGGTCTTCTGACAAATCAAGCTCACTAATCAGGATAGGATAAATCCAAAGCTATTTGACCTATTCAAGCTGTCAGTGGTAATTCTACGATTCATCTCAACCTGTGTAAGTACAAAACAGATGCAACCCACTAAACAAGCTGCATCAGGTAAGTATCAGATAACCTTTCCCCATATTGTTTGTTCAGAAAATGTTGAAAATGTGCCCAGAGAACACACCAGGGCTGCACTTGGAAAACGCCAGGCTGTACTGCCAACCTAAGCTGGTGTGGTGGTTTTAATCTAGGCCTTCCTTGGTTACCAGTTTGTAACCAAGGAAGAGGCAGTGTTCCCAGTATTCCATACGATTTTTACGTAAATCGGGGTATAAATAAGAAGGGAGGAGAGGTCTTCACTCTCTTCTCTTCCAGCGGGCTACAGGAACAGTGGGTCCTTGCGTTGGTCTCGCTTATCTAAGGCTGAGGCCTGCAGCGACTGCTGGCCTGCCATGTGGAGGATAGCAGAGTGCTGGCCGTGTGTGCCAATCCTGCTTCTTTCTAAGGGACTGGTGAGATTTGTTTTACTAGTTATTTTACTAATTCTCAGGTTTGATTGTGTATATCTGCTCGGTGTCCCTTGTTTGTTCCCTTTTGTTCCCCTTTCCCCTTTCCCTATCCCTTCGGGGGCTGTTTAAATTCCTTTTTGCTGTGTACATAGCATCTTACTGTAATATACATCAAATATATATTTTTTTATATAACTAGCTGGATTTTTCAGATTCTTCAATTCACATAGTTTTTTTCCTTTGCTCTGAGGAAAAAAAAAGGAGGAAAGCGGGGGGAGGCTGCTACTGGGGTTTAGGCATTTGGCAGGGAACCAGGTCTGAACCATCACAGCTGGTAATAATTACTCTTCAAGCCTGCCCTGGGTAGCTGACCTAATGAAAGGCATTGCTGCCACCCACCCATGCTCCTCCTTGAGCCATGGCTCCCTGACCCTGCCCTGCTCCTTCTGCCAGATCAGATGTGCCAGAAAAAGAGGGCAGAAACCACTGCAGGGTTTCAGAGACCAGAGACTGGGAAGGTTTCTGTATGAGAGATCTCTACAATGTTTTACAGAGGAATACAAGAGCACTAGAGCTACAGAAGTGAGAGATGACATCTGGAAGAGGATGGATCAAGACATTTTCCTTCTCATATATTTGCTATATATTAGATCACTGTATCTTATGGAACCCTATCCCTAGTCTTAAGACTCATGTGTTAAATATTAATTACTTTTAAAACTGTGACTATAAACCAGAACAATTTTAAGAAATTATTTTATAACAGGAGAAAAACTGGGAAAGAGGTGGCATAGGTTTCAGTTTCATTTGGCTGTAAAATGTGGGGGTAGAAGGTGAGGAAGAACATCTTAGAAGCTACAGAAATCTTCAAAAGGACCTAGTAACTTTCGAAGCTATGATACCCACAAAGTAAACCCACAATTTTAATTGTTCTTTTCCTACCTTCAATTGCATCAAGTATACAAGACAGCTGTTTTCATGCTCAATTATCTAGGGAAAAAGAAAGACGGATTTTCTCTACTTACACTACATTTAGTGGTCAGGTATGGTTGCATCGTCATGGCATGTTTGACCATTAGCTGGGGCCTTATTTTACTGAATAAGAACAAAGTGGTTATGCAAGCAACTAATCGACCAGAATTCACACCTTTGTTGTCAGAATCTGCAAAAGATCAAAAAACACAAAAATGATATTAAGTCCAAGTACTGTTTAATCAATGAAAAAACATATGGCCTAAGCATTGTTTGAATATTTCTTTCATTGCATCTCTTTCAAGATCAAATCACAATATTCTTATTAGAGATGAGAACATTATGTGTTAACATTTGCATGTGACCACAAAATACTTGAAAAAAGAAGCAAAATTGCTTCAAAGACATCACTAGTTTTTAAACTAGTTACTGTACACAGAAGACTAGCCCAGTCAATGATTCCTATTACAACAGTAGAACATATTAATGCAAATAAAACTTGCCACATTTGTTTTGGTTTTAGTGATCTAAAAGTTTGAACAAGTTATTTTAAAAGTAGTTCTGTTCTTGTGGTTAGCTAGAGAAAATTAGGGAAGCTTTGCTATTATACACTGCTCAAAAGTTCATAATGAACTTAAATACAATAATTTATTACCATCAGTTTTGTAACAGGAATTCTTTAACAGTAACCTTTTGCAATAATGCTTTCAACAATTGTTACAGTATCATATAAAATTCAAAGGACTTTAGCAAATTTCTTACCTGATAAAGATTCTTCATATTTAAGAATGTGCTCAACCAAATTGTCAACGAGTTGAGTACAGGCTTTCTTCACAGGTTTATATGAGGCATCCTCTTCTGACTTCAACAGCTGTATCAGGTGAAACAGAAAATGGTTTAGTATTAAGGCTGCATTTATTTGCACAGGATACATGCTGGTTTTGTAACAACTACTACAGATACACAAGGATTTTAGACTACAAAAATATTTAATTCTCCATACGTTGAAGAAAAAAATGTGGGAAGAAAAAAATCAAATCAAAATCAAAGATAAGTAACGAAGAACTAACTGCAATAATAATCCACAGAAGTTCTACTGTTTTTTGCATTGGGATGAAAGCTGACCTTACATTTAGTGGAATATTGCAGAAATTAATAGGAGTTAGAAGGCTTTTAAAATGCTTATAGAAATAAAGAGCAAATTCAAAACAAATGTTGTTTTAGACACTAAGCTAAAATATCAAATGAGGATCTAACACAGTTTTATCAAAACTGTTTAGCCTTCTTCCATATGACTTTGGGTACTGTCCATGAACATCCTTTTAATATCTAAAAAGGATTAAGAACATACTATAGTCTTTTCTTCAGAGAAGAGACTCTTAATGAAGAGGTTCTGATTTACTTGGTTACCTATTTTCATGACACTCCAGGCTAGGGTGAACTCAAAGGGATTTTTTTGCTTGAAAATTAACCAGTGCTTACAAGATGTAGAGAATGACCAAACAGGTTAAGAGATATAAAAAAGCAACCTCAATGCTTAGAAATTTCTGTATTAGATATAAGTGAAATATAATGCAGAAGTAATTTTTACTATAACGATTAATTGCTTTCATAAACTGTGTAGCAAATACATATAAAAATAACGGCCCGTCTTCGCGAGCGAAGATCCGGGAAAGGTCTTTTACACCTTCCAGCCTGCGCATTGGATTTTTTAGGTGAGACACAGTGTGCGCGGAACTGAGCCCACCCTTTAATCCTAAGGTTCATCTGCCGGGGCCAAGCGAGCTTGGACGGTGGCAGCGAGGTCCTTAGGACGTAGGTGGGTTGCCTTTAAGGGCTAACGAGCCCCACCTGCCCGGGAGTGGCCCTGACCGGGAATCGAACCCGGGTCTCGGCGGTGATAGCGCCGCGCCTTTACCACTGGACCACCAGGGGCTCCTGTAGCAAATACACTGCATGTGAAAATATTCTTATTTACCATTTAAAAAAAATCTACATTACCCTAGATGCCTCATTTCAGAATTAAGTATCTTAGCTGTGACTACGTGTTGTCACTCATTATCAAAGCGACAATGAAATTAAAAACAAACAGAACCCCTCCAAAATTAAGAAGTGAAGTATTTTTAAAAGAAATTATATGAAAAGACAGAAACTAATGTCAGAGGTAAAGAAAACTACACCAATGACCATAGAAAAGAAAAAGGTCAGATGTTTAAAGGGTAGGAATTGAATATGACAGTTTGTAAAGGATTGCTCTTGGAGTCCCATTTCTATGTACTTTAGTACCAAAAGAAATGTTAAAATTCAAACAATTATACCACACATTCAAAATTCATTACTTACATTTTGAAGAAGCTGTTCAAACCAATCATACCCTGTATCTCTACAAGCTGCAACCTAGAAGCATTTTTGAGAATAAACTGGTTAATAAAAAAGGTATATGAGGAAAAATTACTTCAATACAGATGTCATCTCAAAGACCAGTAAACATGCATAGATATATTTTCATATGCATTCAGAACAAAGGAGATAAGAAGCTATCTTCTCCACTTGAAAAACAGTTCTCACCATTTAAGTGACTACAGAATTGATATTTCATGCAATATAAAGCCTACACATTTTACTGGAGATTGCTGGCTCTAAATGCAAAACAAATTTATGTTTTGTAAAACATTTTGCACAGATTTAAGCACAAATACAAGCCTGACACATTGAAAACATGCATGAAAACAGGCATGCATGTACACCACAGAATCTCTTGAGTTGGAAGGGACGAACAAGGATCATTGAGTCCTACTCCTGGCCCTGCACAGGATACCCCAACAATCCCACCATGTATATGACAGCGTTGTCCAAATGCTTCTTGAACTCTGTCAGGTTTGGTGCTGTCACCACTTTCCTGAGGAACCTGTTCCAGTGCCCAACCACCCTCCGGGTGGCAAACCTTTTCCTAATATCTAACCTAAACCTCCCCTGACAGAACTTCACACCACTCCCCCAGGTTCTGTCACAGGTCACCAGAGAGAAGTATATGTAGATATATACACACACACAGACACGCACATATACCCATAAAGATATATATATATATATATATGTATTTTTATCTGAACAAACCAAGCCTTCACTGGTATCATATATCAGAAACAGCACACAAGTGCTTCAAACTAGAACTGGCAGGAGAACTGAGAATTTAGCTGAAGTCATATTGCCTTACTTTTCAGACTGGAAAAAATGCACACTAGACCATAATTTTGTAAATATACTGTAAAGTAGAATGAAATTTAAACCTATAATTGTAAGTGATGAAGTGAGTACTTTTATTTGATATTTACATCTTTGTATAATTGATATTAAAACACCTTTTCAGCACAGTGGTTTTATACAACACATTTTCACTACAAATTAAAGCATTTTCATTTCGTAGACATTTATTTTGGAGCCTTTTAATTTGCCACTTCTAAAAAGTAAGATATGACTATGCAGACACTAATTCTTACTCAGTCTTTCTAAGAACATGACTCTGTATTCATTAAAACAGCTTATTAACCTTTTACTAACCTATTAACCCAATTGATACATTATCAATTGTTTGAGGAAAATTTTATTTTAAGAGACAACTTAACAAGCTTAACTATAGTCTCCTTCTAGCAATTCCTGCATAATGTTTTAACTGAACAAGTATTTTATGCAATTTGAACACAGTGTGGTCACAGTTATCATTGCCAGCCTATTAAGTGAGCATTTAAAGTTTCCTACAACTTGTTCAATCAGATAAATAATATTTGCATACATTTCCTGCCAGGTGATAAAAAGAAAACCACCTGACAAATTATTCCAAAAAAATACAGATAATACTCCAAAGAGTCTAAAAACATAATTGAATTTTCCACATAGTTTAAATTTGTTCAACATACCACATCAGTGATGTTTAGTATTTTTCTTGTCATTGCTTCTTTGTCGTGGTGTGGAGTTGGAGTAAACCAGAGCTTCTGGAATGTCTCATTTACTAATTTCTGCAGGAAGAGAAAATATTAGCAGAAATAAATAAATCATTACACAAGTCTTATTTCTAATGATCCATACAATAGATTCGTTGATGGTCCATGCCATTTCATAAGGGACTATGACACCTAAGCGAGACTCTCGAAGGAAACGTTATCTGAGATAGACCTGGACCTGCTATTACAGCAGTTATACTGACTTCTACACAAACTTCAGCAAAATGAATCAATGGAAACTGATGCTAGAGAAAATGGAGTTACCATCTTCCTGCATTAATTTGCATTCCTCAGGAAAACACACGACCCTGAGAAGCTGACAAGTGAACAAAGAACTATAATTTCTACAGCAGAACTGCAGCAGCAGTGGTAGATTCCTTTAGTTTTCTAAACTGTTGTGACAAGGCAGGAAAGACAGAGAGGCCAAGTCTCTCTACCCAAACACAGGAAGTATATTTCCTTCCAACATTTTTGAATGGACAACAAAATAGAACTGAATGAAAGCGAATAAAATTATTCCAAAATTACTCTTCATTCATGGAAATGTAAAAAATGCATTGAAGATAATGCCTCCTTTTTTCTTATGTTGTAAGAAAGCTAAATGGAAGAATGAGAGAGAGTAAGGTCATCCTTCCCAGAGGCACCTTGGATCTAGATGTTCATCTGCTGGTTGATTAAGAGTCCTCTCAGAAAGCCACTCGGCATTAACGTATCTCAAGTGGTAAAAATATCCGCTGCAGCTTTAAAGTTGCAGATTTCAAATCCTACTGAAAGTGTGATACAAGATTATTACAGGTTTGTTCCTAATTACCCAAAAATTTAAAAATTATTTTGCCAACAAAATAATCATAATCAGGCTTATGATTTAACTCATTATCTTAGGTTTGCGCCCCTCTGTATATACATTGCACAAAGTGTAGAGTTTAAACACATAAGTAACATTTCAGGGGGAATATGATTGATACATTGAACTTTCAGAATTAATATGAAATTAACATAGTTTAATACTTTACAATGTTCTATGCAAAATATACTAAAACATCGGCTCTCAAAAATTCCTAAAAGTCATAAATATTACAAAGGAGCAATGTAATACTCTTTTTTGGTCAAAATATGGAAACACTAAGATAACAATAATTAAATTCTGAAGGATATGTTTCATTCTACCTTAATGCCTTCCTCATCATTGACTCTCCGAATCATTTTCACACACATTTCTGTAATTTTGGGGAACGTTGGTTGTTCAATGCAGATATCCCTAAGTATCTTTATGACTCTTTTTCTGACACTGATACCAGTATCCTGTGAAGAGAAAATAATTACACTCTTGAAAACAAATCAGAAATATTAATTTATGTATTATTCAAATTAATATTGGATGATCACCCAATCTGACTTGCAAAATTTATTTAGAAAAAGTAACTAAAATATTCTGGAGTTCATTTATACAAAAGCCCAGCATAACTTGTCCTAAAGGTTCTGGCTGAGTTCCCAGAATTCTGAAACACTTCCTCCATTTATACCCTCCCATCTAAGAGCTCATGACGTTGAAAATGTATAACTCCACTTCTTAATTCAAGAGCTTACAAGCCAGATGTGATGATGCTTTATCTACTCTATTGGAACACACAAGACTCCTTATAGATCTGGATGGTAATACTTTAAGCCGTTGGATAAAGCTTATGGATAAGATACATGCAAGCAGTCTTTTCCTTTTTACTAGGCTTCATCTAAGGAGATAGAGGAAGATTTTCACTTCGTACTCAGGATCTGTTGAATCTGAATATCAGGTTGAATTGCTTTATGCAGTATAGTACGTACATGACCTACTTAGCTCCAAAACCCTTCACAAACTTATATCATCTAACTAGCAAATGAGTAGTACTTGACTAAAATCCTGACACGGATGCTAAGAGCTAGTGCTATCCTACAGTTAAATTAACATACGCCACTTATTTTATCATAAATACCACAAGTCACCGTACCAATATCCTTTCAATCAGCATGTCATAATACTGCTCAGCAAGCTGAGGGCGACAGAGCACAAATCGGCCAAGCAGCTCCACTGCTGCTTCTCGTACACTGGTGGAGTTATCCATGAGCCGCCCATGAACTCCTCGCTGCATATCCAGCTGAAATAAACAAGTGAAACAAAGATTCAGAGTAAGAAACAAAGACTTATTTTGCAACAGAAGAACACATGTGCATGAGGGATATTTAATCTTTTTACCCTGGCTAGAATACTGGGGTCTACAGCAACAACTTCAGACAAACACTTCATGGCTTTTGTTCGGACAGCAATTGCATTTTCACCAAGTACACGCAGAATCTAGTAGGAGAACAAAAACAAAGATTCATTTGTTTTGGGAAGGTAGCAAGCATTGATTAACAACAAAAATGCACCAGAATAACATACAAACAATGTAACTAAAATAATCACATAATAAAAAGTAAAAACTAAAACCTGAATTTATTTTTTCAGGGAGTAAAAGGGTACATGCTAGTGTTGTTTCATGGCACTGAAAACTAGACATGGATATTTACTAGGATTTGCTCTTCCCTAAAATGGGTCATAAGTTTCTTAATTTCAAATTCTGCTTTGCTCTTCTCCCATAAAAAGCAAAGAAATGACACTCGTCAAACAGCAGCTTCCACAGTGACAGCAACACGCACTGCGAGCTACCGGACAATCTGGTTTGTATCTGAAAATCAGATTACACTCAGTTTCATGAATTAATCCTATCAAATAAGCGTGTATCTTACAGAAGCTGTGAAAACTATGTCATTGTTTTGAAATGATCCTATTACAGTGTACATATAATGATTCTGCCATGCACATACATAGGCAAATAAATTAATGTGTGTACATTATGACATACAAAATGAATGCCAGAAAAAGAAGCATAATCACTTATGAAAACAGTATAGAATCTGAGAATACATTGTGTTTTTGTGGCCTGTTAAATACCTCTGCTCAACAATAAAAAGATATGGCACATTACCAAAAAAGGGTTTGGAATCAGAAGCCAATTGTATTTTACTGTACTACGACTTCCAGCAGGATTTACCTGTGTCAAATAAATATCGAAGCTCTGGGCAAACGGCCTCATAGAGGCCAAGTAGCGAACAATCAAACATGCATCCTCATAGTCCACAGTGTCAGAATTCATCCTGCAACAAATTCCGTGTGTTAATTAGGACATGTTTATACAAAAAAATCATTTAAAACATCAAATGCATGGCTAATAAACAAGTAAGGGGTACTGAAACATACTTTAATGTACTGAATTGAGATGGAGCAGTTTTAATGATGCTGCGAAGAAACTTTTTGCGACTTTCTGCTCTATGCATAATTTGTCCTGTGGTCTCAACATCTTTTGCATGATGAGTTCCTTCAGATGAATCCTCATCCTTCTGAGATTTAATTGCTTTTTCTGTCTCCATAGTTGTATCACGGAACCACTGAGCTACATAAAACTTCCGAGAAAACTGTAGGAATATAGCAAACACACAGAAAACAAAACCAACAGATAAAGAAAAAGAAAATTAACAGACTTATAATGAGGTTAAGGGAATCTAATGCATTTATTTTAGAAAACACAATTAACAGTATATGTTAGGGTGACAATTTAATTGAAATGAAAATACATATAATCAAAAATCATTTTATCCAATACACATTATTGAAATTATTTTTATATATGCCTGACAACAGAAAGCTGAAATTTACCACTAATGATGCATCAATTTCTGTGTTCTCATCCAGATAATCTAGCAAAGCCTTTTGCAGCTGTTGAATTTCGTCTTCTCCTCCTGAAACCTGTTAGAAGTAAAAAGGTAGTTATAAACCAGAATATTGCATAGTTGTATTTATCATCTGAAAATCTGCATGTCCACACATAAATACACTGAAGTCAGTTGTTTGCATAATTGCAGAACATTAATAATTTTAACCAATTAGTTCTAAATTCTAAAAAATATTAAGAGCAGAGTAAGACTGATTTTAAAACACACTGACTGATTTAATTAATTTTTGTTCTATGATCTTGTGTGAGGACCCTGTCACAGAGGAAGAAAGGTCAAATCCATAAACCACCTTTATTTCCTCAATATTATACTGAAACACTTTGAGCCTTGCAGTTGCTGAAGTTACAGCAGTGAAAGTTATTGTTTTTTCTCCCAAAAATGAATGAATTCAAGAGTTCAAAAAGCATGTCTACAATTCACATAAGACTACTATAAGTTTACAGATATTTAGGTATATATATTTAGCACTCTAATATATGTGCAAATTGTGAGTAGAAGTTCTGGCCTTTGACCAAGTTGAAATTCTGTGGAAAACTGGCTGCATACAAGGGTTGCTTGATGCTTAACTGTCTAACTATTTTCAAACAAATAAAAAACCCGAGAAAAAGTCTGTAACAAAGCACATTCAATAATCCTTATGAAAGCAGAAAAATAATTTCTGGTTTAAAATTCTTCAGCTACAAAAAAATTTTTCTCTTCAGCAATGAATCTTGTAACTTATAACCACTTTAATTTCTGAATTATCAGCACTGACTGAGAATCTCGACACAAATACAGCGTATAATACAGCTTGCAAATATCAGCAAGGGAAGAGTGGTATAGTTAACAAGCCCAGAATTTCACTGCATCAAGAGATAAACTAATGAAAAGTATGCACAAGTGTTAAAATGAACTTGACTATTTATGACAGATTTCTAAAAAAAAAAAATCTACTGTTTAAAAATGTCAAAACAGAACAAATTTCCCCCTAAAACTAATTCTATAAATAAGGAGTCCAAACCACAGCATGGACTGCAATATGCATTTATCAATCATTAAGGAATATCCTGGTAATGATAGAGCATAGAAGAAAATATCCAAGAGAGTCTAAGTACTCAACTTAGCAGGAAAGAAAAACCTTTGGAGGTGTAAGTTCACTTCTGAATGAAAATAATAATCTAAGTTTCTGATGACAGCAGCTACCAATGGATGTTCTTATTTTCTTGCCATTTGAACAACAAAGTGAAACTCAGCTGTCATGTATGTATTGTTCTTCTGTTAAATAAAATTTATAAATAACACAACACTCTGCCCTGATTGATAGTACTGTACCACACACCTTCCAACACGGATGGGATTGTCTACCATTACCAATGTTAAGTTTCCTGAGTAACTGAAAAAAATGTTTCTAGCATTCAATTGCCCACAGTAATATTATTTTTTGCAGATGCCAACACCTAGATCCTGTAAAAAGCCTAAACCAAATAGAAAAATGCAGGTCAATGTTCAGTTATGTATCTTTCTAGAATATCTGTCAATAATATTATAACTTCTGGATAAAGGAAAGAGAAAAGGATTTTTCTGAAATACTTCCTCCCTAAGTAAAATGTAAAACTGTCAGAATTGCTGTCAACAGTGGACAATTATAACCCCTTAGTAAATAGAAGCATAAATTATATTAAGCCATGGACATAAAGATTTGACACTAGACATTGTAGAATATTCTAATTGACAAAAGTTATGGGAAGTATCAACCTCATAAACGAGTAGATGATTTTTTATTCTGTAACTGAATGCCTGTAAAGTGCAGAAAAATTAATCTAATGGTCACTATAAAGTGCAAGTAATAAAGATCTGAAGTCTTTTCAGGTAACTAAAAGGGAAATGCTGAGAACAGTTAGCAGTTCAAAAAGAAATTAATAGTGTCCGTAAGAAAAGCACAATTTTTAAAAGGACACATAGGACATGAGATTTTCTCATTATATTATGTACTGCTACCACTTTGCAATTGCAAATGCAGTAACATATGAATTTTTAAGGTCTCCTAAGATAGAGTACAACTGTTGCTCCATTATTTTCTCTCTATTGCCACAAGAAAACTGGCAAACTGGCTTACCCACTGTAACAAACCAATTCATAGGATCGCTACAGAGATGGTGCAAGGAAGACACAAGCTAACAAATGTGATACTAATAAATAGAGTATATTTGATTCAGAAACTTGAACAGTGAATGAAGACTGATTCTCCATAATGTCAATTTTTCAAGTATAATTTTCATGTATTTAAATAGACAGATCTCAATCCAGCTGTTATGGGATGTCTCACACACCTGTTTGAGGATTCTGGCTATAGATCCTTGATCCATTTTGCTAGTGACTGCATCTTTCCTTAGTCTTGCAGCTACAGTTCCAAGATAGTCAAGTGATGCAACTCTTAATGCCATTTCTGTTGATTTATTACTAAATTGGTGAACCTAAGAAAAGCAGAATAAATTGTTAAAAACAAATCTTTATTTATGTAACTGAGGTTCTTCTCACAAGAGACTGCTTCACCTTTTTAAAATTTTCACCTGACTTCCATATTGCATGTATGTAGCTTACTATTATGTCACAGATACATTAATTACTTTACATTAACGCTTCTTTACTGGGTCTCCCTCTCTCTCTCCAAATATGCCCGTTACTGTTCTTTAAAATATATATTTTCATTAAATAAAATGGACAACTAGAACAGCGGATCATCTTCAGTAGTAGAGATCTTAAGCACCATAATGCTGCTACTTCATTATTCACACAAATATAAAGCTACATTTTCCCAGGAACAAGACCATGAAATATTTTTCCAAGAAACAGCTCAAATTACTGAGTTAATTACACTGTAATAATGAAAAGCAAATTCCCATTCTGTAAAATAACATAAGCAAAAGCTGTAATTGTAAGAAAACAAACCACTTAGTTGCTTTCTGGTTCTATGATGAAGGAACAGTCCAGAGAAAACATTTAATAGGAATAATTACAGCTATTAGTCTGACTTTACTCCAAACTAATATGTGCACTTATTAGATGTTATGTAACGGCATTTCTTTGTGTTGAAAATGTAATGGAATAGTGGAACTGGACTTCCATGAGAAACTGTATACATACGATTTTTAAGATGTTTCATATGAACGATCCTCTAACCAAAATTTTATTATTTATGCATTACATAGTAGTAATACACTCTAGAAAATCCTTACATGCTGCCTGTGTGTCAATGATCAGAAAGCATTCTTGTAGTAGTTTCAACTGAAACAAACAAGTCTTCACTGTAATATAAAATAAATTCATACAGTTAGAAACAAGAACCCCTTACCAATAGCCTTCCTAATAAGCTAAGTAGCAACTCTGCAGCTGGCCATTCTGGTTTGTTGACTGTTGAAAGAAGATCTTGAATGAAGTTCTCAAACAGTGGCCTGTAATCTTCTTCCCCTTGTTTACTGCCACACCTATTTAAAATAAAATGCATTTTGTAACAGAACTAGCAGAATGTTTGTTTTATTAATTTACAGAGAAACAGCTTAAACAGCTATCACTTCATGTTGCATTACAGGTAAAACAGCCAATTCGTGATAACAGAATTTTGTTGCCAAGATTTTTTTTATTTTTAGCTTTGCAATAAAGTCTGCATTGACTTGGATAGGCAAAGTAAGTAGAACTGTAAAGCTTAAGCTGGAGTAGGATAGTTGAGAGGTGGTGTGTTTATATTCCTTAAGCTTAGTTTGATTTATCTGATAGTGCTAAGACATCTCACTATTATGCTTCACAAAGGTTACAATCAGAATGTAAAAAAAAAAAAAAAATTAAAAATCAGATTAAAAATTTAACAAATCAGATTAAAAAGTAAAAATCAGACACCTGATAATTTTAAACTTATATGTGGCATCCATAAGTTTAACAACATCAGAATCATGCAGAGAGATTGCTGATGGCTTATTAAATAGCTTTTTGGCTTTAGGTGTAGAAATTAATACAATAAAAACCTAATGACCTCTTCTTTGAAATCCTTTGGTTATTCAGGTATGGGGTTTTTTTCCCTTTTGAGCTATTGACATTGCTAACTTCAGCTAAACGAAAGTAATTTTTAAGTTTTTTATATCTGATAATTGAATCAACATGGTTTCATGACATATATATATATATTAACTCAGCCTTCTTTTCCAGGCCTCATTTAAGTAACAGACCTCTAATAAAGGAATCCTACACTAACTGTCAAACTTGAATGTTAAAGAATTCTACACTCTGCAGAATTTCTGTTCCACATATACTTTTGACTAGACATGAAACTCATAAGCATCTATAAAGTATAATGTTATAAATAAATCTATGTGTAGGTATTTATCACTGTGCAGTGGTCAGGTTTGTCTTGAAGTATGACTGACTTCATCTGGAGCTGGTTTCATCAATACGCTAAAGAATGCAAGAGTACTTACTTCTTAAGGAAAATAGAAAGGAAGTTTTGTGCTGTTCTCATGGCTGTTTCATAAGAGTTAGTAATAAGCACATCTTGATCCACCTAAAGATAAAAAAATAAATTTTTCTATTATTTTAGCGTACACAGAACTATGATTTTCAGATCAGTATTTTTCATGCACCAGAAAATTACAGCAAACATAAAATTACGTTTACTACAGTACTGTAATAAAATATCATAAAATGTTATACCTACACACGTAAGTCACTTCTGCAAACAAACACACAAAGATGACTTTTAAAAAATATCTTACTTTCTTGTTTGATTCCTCCTCTGAATTAGAATCTTTTTCTGCTGATGGTAAGTGCACCACACATTGAATAAGTTGCAGAACTAGTGCTGTTACCATCTGAATATACATAGGCTCTCCATCAGTGTCACTGCTGTTTAACCTGTTAATAAGAAAAAACAGCATTAACAGTAAAAGTAAGTAAAAAGGACAAAACACAACAAAAATGTTTGGTCTTTAATAGTATCTTTCAAAAATTATAACCACAGTTGGAAATCTGTATTCTAGATATTTATCTAGTTATTTGATTATTTCTTATGCAGTGTAACGTTTGGACTAAAAAAACCAGTAAGTATTGTTCTTGGGCAGAAGAGGTGAATGGAAACAGCACCCAGATGGGCTATTAGAGAATCTGTGAAGTTCATCAGTTGAATGTTTAATAAACCAAACACCTACATGGTAAAACACTTAATAATAAGCTTATTATGTATAATGCCATGTCCTCTTCCAACACAACACAACAAAATACTTCAAAGTATGGCAATAATGATTTATTATTTCTATAGGTTTTTAATGTATGTGAAATATGCAGATCTTTTAAACAAGAGGAAATAATGACCATGACCTGGATTGACTTTTACAAGTTACACCTATGGTAATCTGTGGTAGCAGAGCAGATTATAAACTTCAGCATGCAAGATTCTGTAAGTGTGTCTTAAGTTGGTAAGAAGACTATGAATACAATCCACGTTTCTCCCATGACATAACCTAAGAAATAGTATAGTGTTTACTGCCCATACCTACATTAACACCACCTATTGTTACCCTTCATAATATGAAAAGATGATAATCCCTGACATATGAGATGATATTGAAATGAGATTGACTCCTGTCCTGGAAAGGGTGTACTGAGTGTGTCCTCAAAAAAATTCATCCAGTATTTTCCTATTAAGCTTTAGAAACAAAGAAATTATGTAACTCCATGCAAACAAAACCAAAAAATTGTCCAACAGAAAAAACTCTGAATGCACACTGATATTACACTCACTCACATTCTTAGCTGAGAAAAATAATAAGAGATTTCAATTATTTTTGTAAGTAGGTACTAAAGTGATAGCATAAGAAACAGTGATTATTACAAGAAATTTGTCAAATAATTCTTTCTTTGAAATCTCTACCTGCAAAAAGTGCAGCTTGTGGAGACGTAGATTTTTAATGTAGTTATTACTGAAGCCTAAACTCCTACATCTATAAACTGTAAATGCTACAGTTTACAAGTTATTAATTTATGTCAGAAATTACCTGAAGTTTCTCAAACTCCTCTTGCTAGTTGGTAGTCTCGCAAGGGAAGTGAAAATTTCTTCTAGAATTAGCTGTCTGTGTTTTTCATACCGGGAGAACACCTATTTAACAGTTACAAGATTTTTACAAAATTATTTATTGTTACATAACATACCACTTGTTAAAGAAATGGTTAAAAATTACAATTAATGCATACCTTATTTTTAATTAATTGTTTTCCAATAGTCAATTATTTAATTTTTTATAAAACATTGTATTTATGCAACAATCAAAACTATTTCAAATATAGATTTTTTTAAATGTTCAAATAACATAAATGTGTAATAGGTCTTGAAAACACCTTCTGTTTTAAAAATTGCTGTTGATAGTGTCATACACTACAAGACAGTCAAACACTGTCATACTAAGCTTTTGTATTTAATATTTCTTTCTCTCAGTACAGAGAAAAGCTGTGGTAACAAATACATGAACACATGTGGATTGTAGAGCACAGCTGAGAAAACAGTTTTACTTCATATCCTAAGCTGTAATGTTTGTCTGTTGTGACATGTTCTTTCTTTTACAGGGTCAGGACTGTTGAGTTTGTCTCTCTTTTGTCCAGGCAGGATACTGGAGTATATATCCCTTAGCAATACGGAAAGCTCCAACTTGAACAAGCACATCTGTGTTCTACTGCATTTTTCCTGAAATAATATTTACCTGTCCTGTGCATTTTTTACATATCCAACTCTTCTGAGGAAAAGAATTTATTCTATTTCATAGAAATATCATACTAGTTCTATACCTTATTTCACTGTGTAAGTTCAAATTTTTTCATAGGAAATAAGGAAAACCACATAGCTAAGATTTCTTACGATGAAAAAAATGACAGGTAAGATGAAAGAGTTTGTGTTTGCATTTTAAATAACAGCCAAACTCAAGAAACACCTTGTTTAATTAGGGTATTTCTTCCTATAGAGTTCTCTGCAAATAGGAGCATCTCTGGTAGATATAATACTGTTTCTATATTATGATATCAAACTGTAAAAACATGCAAGAATAAATTTAATTCTACACTTCAGTTCTCTACTGGAGAGAAAATATGGCCTATGTAAATGACCAAATAACTCTCAGAAGCACAGGAGCATGAATGCACAAATTAAAAAATACTTACTGCAGTCACTAATTTGATGGCACATAACTGAAGTTCACTGACATTTTCTACAAAGAAGGGTGTTATTCCCATGGATGATACCTATCAATGGAAAGAAGTTACTGTAACTGTATCTGACCAACAAACAGGTATTTATCCAGCTTCACAAGCAGTTTATTCATTCAGCAGGATAAGCATTGAACAAGACGCATTACTCCATGTTATTTGCAAATAAAGATATTAAATTACATTAGGGCATAGGTCTAATGACGAGCAGCTGAAGGAACTGGGATTTTTCAGCCTGGAGAAAAAGAAGCTCACTGGAGACTTTATCCATCTCTACAACCACCAGAAGGGAGGTTGTTGCCAGGTGGGTGTCAGCTTCTTCTCCCACGTAACAAGTGACAGGATGAGAGGAAATGGCCTCAACTTGCAACAGGGAAGGATTAGAATGGATATTAGGAAAAAATGATTCATGAAAGGGTTTTCAAGAACCCTTCTGGGAACTGCTTCCCAGAGAAGCAGTGGAAGTATTTGAAAGATGTGGAAGTATTTGAAAGATGTGAAGATGTGATGTTTACGACATGTTTGAGTGGTGCACTTGGCAGTGTTGGGTTTATGGTTAGACTTCATGTTCTTAAGGGTCTTTTCCAACATAAATTATTCTATGACTCCAAATACAATCAGGTTAAACTTTTCTTAAGTGTACAAGAGATGTCACAAGATTCATAATTTAAATGCTCCTCTGCAGATTACCTAATACACAACAAACTAGTCACTCTGATATTAAGAATTCAAAAGCTCATACTGATTTCAAACTTCACATCACTGAGACAATCATACTTTACATTTGCTCTAGGATGAGCAACGTTAACCTAACATTCCTGGACAGAAATTTTTCTGATAAAACCTACCTGAAGAATAGTTGTATCAGTAAGGAGCTGTATCTCAAGTAACTCTGACAAGCTGCTGACAATGTCACAAACTTTGTTGTACAACATCACGATAACTCTTTGCTTGTGGGTGGAACACTTGGCACGTTTTGCTTTTGAACTTAAAACACCACCTAGAGAACAAAAAAATATATTCATTAATGTTTTCAATGCTTCAAAGAGCAAATACTAGAAAGATGATTGTCCTCAAAAAGTGTCCCCAAAACAACTGCATGAATACAGCTTTGTAAAAGCAATTTAAAAAATTACTTAATAGCATCAAGTGGAAAGCAAGAATTTCACATAATATTAATTATTATATAGGTTCCAAGTTCTGGATCTGAGATTTTTAGAAAGGTTCTTGAAATTGGACACATTCATCTATAGGTATGAACATGGCAACAAAAGGCTAGAAGCTAAATAGTTTTCCTTGAAATAAATCATTATATACATGAAGATTATAACTATGAAATGATTTATTCCTACATGTAATAACACAAAAGCTCATCGTCAAAATTCTGAATACTTTCAATAATTTGGTTACATTGCCATTACTGCACTAACTCAAGATGCTATATGACTAAGTTCTTCAGATGGCACATTTCACTTTTTTTAATTCTACATTTCATCATTCTCAATCTAACATAATGCATTAATTCAGGATGCTGTATTTGGTATGGAAGAACTATCAGTATAAAAGTTACAATCTTATTCCAGGAAGTCATATAATTTACATCCTCATACAGTAGATTAAGTTTTCACAGCTTTTAACATGGGAAGATTTGTTAGCATACTAACCACCATGAGGATCCACTCTATACACAGGATCATACTGAGGATAGAGAGTGTTCTGCAAATGAAATTTTGTGTACTGAATAACTCTTTCTATTACATCCTCAATATATACAGCTTTAGGCATATTTGGTGATGTCATAATATTGATAGCAGTAAGACAAGCATCAGCAGATTTTGTCACTCTTTCCATAATAAGGTCTCTCCATAATCTCTCCTCATCTTCAGTGTCATTATTCTGTAACAGTAAAGAAAAACAGAAGAGTGTGAACAAGAGGTCAAATTTTTACTCTTACCAAGCAAAACTTAACATACACTCATGTAAAATATTGTATTTCCTTTCTGATACAAAAATAGTTTATTTTAAAAATCAAGTAATGCTTGTTTTACTAGCAACATGTTTGGAACATCTCCCTAAGTTACAGGTCTTCAACATCTCACTCTATGCTTCTGCTAGAACACAGAAAGCTTTCTGTGTCTCACTCAGAAGCATTATAAGGGAAGATTGCCACATCCTCTATTTAAGACCAGTACGTTAAGCAAAATCTAAATTCATTCATCTGGTGCTCTCTTCAGTGACACCAGTTGCTGCTTTGATCAATCTAATTTTCGCCACTAGAGGGAATTCTTACACAAAAAGACTGTCACAAGTCACATGAAATCTGGAAGTACACTACTTTCTCTGCTTCACAGGACAACCCATCTATTATCAATGGGTTTAAAACACATCAAATACATCGATTCAGATTTAACACAGGCTACAGAATCTCTGTATTACTGTGTTTGTAAAAGGTATAAAAGCAAACATAATGAGATTAATTGTGACCATCCAGCCCTACTTAAATATCATAGTAACATTATAGCAAAAACAGGCAGAATTTCTCACAGCTTCTCTAGTATAGATAGAGCTTCCAAAGAAAAAGTCTTTACTGCCTGCATGATGCCACAGTTAACACTGTTGGCTTTCCTTGTAAAAATAAGAGGTTGGTGAAACCATAACAACTTTTTCCTTTTGCAGTACAAGAATCTAAGCCAATATCACAGTTCATAATATACATGCTATACATAATTGTAAAATAAACAGAAATCTGCAAATCAGGAGGTCCCTGCAAATTTCTCACATAGTGGGGTTAAGTTGCTCCTTACACAATCAAGCCCTTAAAAAACCCTCAAGTTAATTTTGTTTCCCAAGTAATCTTGAAAATGAAAAGAATATTATAGCATCCTTTGCCTCTGAAAAACATTATTAACATGGAGGTGAGATATCTTCGCTACACTCTAAAAGTAGTAAGCTTACTCCTTAGCAGAGGCTTTCTTTGCCACAAGGATTGGAATAATTTTTAATAGTTTTACGAGACCCCCCCACAAACTAAAATATTAACCTTCCTGTTAATTTGATTTACATTAACAACTGTAACTTTGCAGTGTCAGAACAGATTTAAACAAAACACTTCCTCCTTAATGCTCAGGAGAAAGATACGATCCATATGAACACTACAGTACTTCCTTCATTATGTAGGGGATTTTATGGACACATAACAAAGAAATGTCCAAAGGTGCAAGTTACACCAGAATCACCATGAATGCTTCAGGATGAAACTATAATATCTAAAATGAAAAAAAAAAGAAAATTCAGTTGCTCCCAATACACCTGTAAGTTATCAGTAAAACATATTTAGTACTGAAAAAATATCATTAATTAAATTTTACTTCAAATATTAAAATTTGGCAAACATGTATGTTATATCAGATATCCCTTTCATACATTATATGTAGTATTTAAACCTATCACTAAATAGGACTCAAGTGATGAAAACTCTACATAATGTTGTGAAATTATGTAATTTGAAGCTCACATGGTTAAGTAAAGTAGAAAGCTTTGATCCATCTTGAATGTTCTTCTCCAAAATATTCAGGACTTTCACTGTTTTATCTGTTGAGAGCTAAAACAAGAAAAGAAACATGTCAAACAACTGCAGGAACATAAAGGCTTCCAAATTGCTGAAAAGAATACCAAGGCATGACAGCAAACATTTATAACATGAATCACTTAAACTGTAAGCAATTTGACATAAGGAGAATGCTGATACTAAAACTCCAATATGTAAAATATATTCTAGGATTGCAATTAAACTGCATTTTCAACCAGCAAAATCCATGGAAATAGATTTTTAAATTGTCATTAATATTGTATACATGTTGTATACAATTTTCTTTCTAGAAGCCTATCAAATCCAAGTATGAACTATGAATTCTAACTGACCATATGGAGCTTTATTAGGAGAAAATGCATACTGCATGAGCAAGCAGATATAAATTACCTGATACTTGAGTGCTAATAAAAAGGAAACGTATTCTTAATGTTAACTTAAAATAAGTAGCATGTTGAAAAAAGTAACTCAAACTCACTGACCTTCTGTAGAATTATGATTAAATAATTTGCAGAATATGCTAAACTCAAGGAGAGCCAGTTTCTCTCATCTAGATACTACTACTCACCTTTGGAAGCAACAAAATCCTGATTTTATTTATATATGTATGTATGTATTTATGTGTGTGTGAAAAATACAGAGTAGAGGTTATGGGTGAGAACTGTTAGGAAAGAGAAAAACTCATGCCACTAATATACTATAAAGAAAGGCAGGGAGATTGAAAGAAAGTCCAGAAAGAATATCTAAAGTTTAAAGAAGTTTGGAATAGTCCAGAGTGACTATTATAGTAAGTGGGAGCAGGCAAAGAGTTTAACATAAAACTGTCCAAAGTCATGAGTCCCAGGAAGATAAAAGAATTCAAGAACACTGTTTCTAGAGGTATGACTTCAACAAGTTTGAAGCAATGAAAGTCCCCTTAACTGATGGGGGAAGAGTATGGCAAAGAGACTCAGGCACACAGAGTGACTCTTGGAGAGATGAAGGAAGAATGCAACTCTGTTGCTGGTTGGACACCATACATCTACATTGCACTGATGACATATATCAGAAAAGGTGGATTTTTTTACTTTGCCAGCAGGTTCTGCTTTACTGTGGTTGCTCAAAAACAGCTGTAAGGAGCAAAGCCTAGAGGTTGATGTGCTTTTGTGAAAGCAGGTTAATTGTTTTAGATTTCACTGCTCAGGCACATGTATTACATATTGGTATATAGTCAACACTGACACAGAGGAGGACCTTTCAAATGGACCTTCCAACAAAAGTGTCTCAGCTTCAGAAAGAGTAATAGTTAGGATGTGGTAACTTTTTAAGCACTTCAGCTAAGTGAGACGAAGCTCAAGTGTTCTTCAGGTGTGCATACCCCAAGAAAACCCGAAGAGGGTGGCATGTTAATCAGCATTTTAGTTCAAAAAAAAGGTAGACTATGAAGATGTACCTTGTCCATAATCCCCATTGCCTTGATTTTTGCAGATTCGCTACCCAACTCATTAAGCTGATGTTTTCCCAGTAGCAATTCCTGTGGAATCTCATCATCATCACCTTTTAAAGGAAAAAAAAAAAAAGGTATAAAATTAGCAATCATATTTCTAATTAAACTTTAAGGGAAACAGTATTGTACATCCAATATGAAAAAGCCAGCTGAAGAAAAAGAACTGATTGTCCACATAGGCAGTATCTAATGGTTCCAAATAGTTAGCATCTAACAATAAATACAACTTCTGGTTGTGTTGAAACAATGACTAGTCATTAAATATGACTGGTACTGAAACATCCTTTAAGAGCCTAACAAGAGGCACCAAAAATTTTTAATATAGCAAAACTCATTTATTGCAGCTCTTGTGCCACCACTCTCAATTCAGTAAAACAAATATAAAACTATTGTAGCCCTGAAGTTTAAATCTGGGCAAGAGTAACAGAGGAAAACCATATGAAATTAAACACCTTGAGATACACTCTCTTCCAACTGTATTTACCCTTAGAAAAGAATCACGTTGCCAGACACAGAAAGATGCAATGACTTCACTTTTAAATCCAAGGTTGCATACACTATGGTTTTAAAAACTATAGTGATTTATTTACTATGTCCCTCTCCTTGTTCTAATCCTGTGTCAAAGATGGTAGAAAAAAAACCTAATGAACACTCCATTATCCATTACAATAGAAAGTCACCCTCGTCAACGTGGACTACTTCCTCAGACACTTATGCAAAGTAGGCTGTTTTTCCACTGAAATTGATAAGGAACACATGGTGATTCCATATCTCAGCTATAAATGCCAAAGGACTCTGCTGCCTGAATTGAATAACCAAAATCTTTTGGGTCAAATTTCTCTGCTGTTGAAATTTGAAAGGTAAAGGCCAGCACTCCAGGTGGAAGCCATATAAATCCAGTATACCCTAACAAGGGGCATGTAATTAAATCACCAAGAAGTAGCCTCAAGTATTTAGATACAATTTTTTATGCTTCTTGTGTTTCTAATTGGAGAAAGCATTTTGAAAATTTCTGACGTTATTACCAAAAGCTGTAAAATCCATGTCTTCCAGATTTTCCAAAATATTCTCTATTGAAGCAGTAAACCTTTTGAATGTTGAAGAATCCATCATTTCTGTTGAAAAAAGAAATTAATAAATAATTATTTTAAATACAAAGCAGAAACTACGAATTGTGGAAAAGAAATCTTCTACAATTACCTTCAGGTGTAAGTTTAGGTTCATAAGCTTTCCTCTTCTTTTGTTTTTCTTTTTTCTTCATTTTTCTAGCCACTAATTAAGAGAAAGAAGAGTGAGGCAAATACTTTCTCAAAAAATTAAATAAAGGATTCTTTAAATTTCTTACAATTGTATTCAATACGGCATGTAATTATGTTTATTTTTAAATGTTTAAGATATCCATTAAAAATGTGCTAGTATTATGGAATAAAATTAATTTTTTTAAGTGATCAGTTACCCTCACTGAGGCTAGGGGGAGAAGAATAATCATCCATATCAGAGTCATCGGGACTGCGATTACGGTAACGACCACTGCCAGAAATCCTCCTTCCTTCATGGTAGTGACCACTCCTCCTGTGGTCACCAGAACTTCTTCTGTCATGTTCTTCATACTCCCAAGCTTCATCTCTATCCTTTTTGTGTCTTTTACGAGAAGCTAGAAATGAAATGTGTTTTCATTTTAAGTACAAAACTTTCAATAGCTCAAAATTGAACATTTTTAAACATTTCTTGGATGTGTAGATGTGTTGCTTAGGGACATGGTTTAATGGTGGACCTGGCAGCATTAGTTGTAGTGTTGGACTTCATAGCCTTAAAGGTCTTTTCCAACCTAAATGATTCTATGATTTGCAAGTTAAAACACTCTTGTATAGTAGCTCAGTAAATCAAGCAAACACTCTAAAACTACTAAATGTAATTCTGCTTTGGATTATTCTAACTTTTTTTTTCCAATGAAGCTGGCAAAGACACTAGAAAACATAAAATAAAATAAAATATACAGGGCATCTGTCCTTTTAACCAAAGTAAGGGAAGTGGAACAAACCAAAATAAGTTTCATCCTTTTACGAGAGAACATTCGTTATCAAAACTCTGACTCTTTCTGGATGTTCGTGTTCCAAGTCAGTGATTGCTTTGCCCATCTGACATACCAGGTACCAATAAGACTTTGCAATATATTTCCTTTAAGATATTCTGTTTTGCCAAACAATTAAAATTTTGTCTTGTATACATTGCAGGAAATTCATGTAAAGGAGAAAACTGGAGTCACAATTCCACAGAAGGTTATTGTAACTACTTTTCAGGAAGGACCAAAAAGCCCAGTAAAAGTGAACGTTGAAGAAGCTGGGATAAATATTCTATACAGCTATTCAGTGGAAATAATGAACCTCTCCCCACTCTGAGACGATAACTCTGCAATGGACCCTAGAGGACTCCCTCTATGTAATACAAATATGTAATACAAAACTCTTGCACAGAGGTGGTCCAAGTAATTTAAGGTAATAACTCAGTTCAGGTTTAGAGCTGTGCTGCTTCTGGATCAGACTTCCTTCTGGAGAAGCAGAGTCATGTTCTTGCTGCTGGAGCTACCACCACTGTTGAAATGGTTGAGAGAGTTAACTGTGATGGAAGTAATGTAGGGCCATCTTGGACCACTCTGTGGGTAGGAAATTGGCTGGATGGTCACACTCCAAGAGTTGCGGTCAATGGCTCAGCATCCAGGTGGAGACCAGTGACAAATGGTGTTCCTCAGGGCCAGCACTGTTTAAATCTTTGTTGGTGACATGGACAGTGGCACAGAAGGCACCTTCAGCAGGTTTGCTGGTGACACTAAGCTGTGTGGTGCAGTCAACACGCTGGAGGGAAGGGATGCCACCCAGAGGGACCGGACAGGTTTCGGAGGTGGGGCTGTGCGATCCTTGTGAAGTTCAACAAAGCCAAGTGCAAGGTCCTGAATATCAGTCAGGGCAATCCCAAGTACAAACACAGGCTGGGTAGAAAATAGATTGATGGCAGCTCTGAAAAGCTGAATGAAAAGTTGGACATAGGCTAATAAAGTGCATTTACACCTCAAAAGGCCAGCTGCATCCTGGGCTGCATCCAAACCAGTGGCCAGCAGTTCAAAGGAGGTGACCTTGCCCCTCTACTCTGCTCTTGTGAGACCCCACTGGATCACTCTAGGGCCCCCAACATAAGGAGGACATGGATCTATTGGAGCGGGTCCATGAAAACGGCCATAAAGATGATCCTGGGGCTGGAGCATCTCTGCTGTGAAGACTGGTTGAGAGCTGGGGTTCTGCAGCCTGGAGAAGAAAAGGTTCTGGGGACATGTCCACTTCATGCACATGAAGTGATACAACAAGGGGTTAAATGTTTAAACTTCAAGAGAGTAAGTTAAGATTAAATGGTAGGAAGAAATTTTTAGTGTGAGGGTGGTGAAGGCACTGGCACAGGTTGCCTAGAGGAGTTGTGGATGCTCCATCACTGGAAGTGTCAAGGCTGGAAAGACCCTTGAGCAACCTGGTCTAGTGTGGCATCCCTGCCCATGGCAGGGGGGTTAGGATTAGATGATCTTTAAGGCCACTTCCAACCCAAACCATTTTGTAATACCTAGAGTAAATGTTTATGGGAGAGTAAACATTTATGAAAGTTTATGGGAAAAGGCTTTACACAATGAAACTATTCTGTGGAGGCAGATGAAACCTGTCTCCACAGTTTACAAATCATCTGTAACACTTTAAGCTCTGTGGGATAAATTCTTACCCCAGATACATCTCCATGAGAAAAGTAACTTCCAATATTGTTTTCTGGCAGAATTTTAGATTGACCAGTTTATAGATGCTGCATGGCAAAACAGAATGTGCTACAACTCTGCTGGCTCTACAAGACAAATGACATGAACATGGGAACAGCAATTCACACTTACTGCTCTACAAAATTTATTTTGAAGTCGCTTAAATTCACTGCAAATCTAAGTTTTAATAACATTTCAAGAGTTAATATGGGGTTTATACATAAATAAATACTATTTGGAATATAAACATCCAATTTACTTCCAAATGCTGCCAAAAGTCCAGTTTTAGGCAATCAGAATCATTCAGAAACATGTATTGGTAACAACACAAATTTATCCAGTGTACTTGTCACAAATCTTTCACTGTCTTGATCATTTTGTCTTGTTTTAAATTTAATTCAGTTCTAGAGTTTTCTTTAAATAATATTATAACTTATTTTTAAGCCAGATGTACTCACTGAATTGTTTAAAATGATGGCCAGATCTCCTGAGTGGATATTATGAAACTAGAATCCCTTAAAGCATGTAATTACTGTGAAAGTTTTCCTTAACTTGTTTTACTTTATATTTAAGACTTTCAAAAGCCACTATGGCTACTATGTAGATTTAAGTATCTGAAATTCTTGACAATTCTCTCCATTCCCAACCAACTTAAATAATTTTCCTTAATTGATTAATTTCTTTAAATCCTCCGTTCCAGATTATTAACACCATAAACAGGTGAAATGATACGGTAAACAGAGAACATCAATCCTGAATGAAGCAACTCATCATTAATCCTTTCCCATAATCCTGATTGATCACAATTTACCTCAAGATGTCACACTCACAGACAAAGCAGCATTATTCAGTTATAATTAAAAGGGAAAACAAACCAACAAAAGGACATTCTTTTCAGCTTCTTTGATAAAGATCAGAGGTAGGAATATTATAATTTTAACATGCATGTGTGCATAATCACTGTGTATCTGTTGGATGAGAACCCGAAATGTATTAAAAAGAGGAAGAAATAAATCTTTCCCTTTTGGACTTTAAGAAATACTAAAAAACCAAAACACTTAATGAACTTACAAAAGTTCATTATGATGTTTCTATAAACAGAGGTGCAAAGCATCTAAAGTTGGGAAAAAATCATTATGCACAAGATTCCTTTGCAGGTGAACAGTCACAGGCACTTCTTCTGTAGCCCTGCACCATTACAGAGCTAAGACATTAACTCAGAATTAACTGATTCCCTCTGTTGTAACAGTTTATTTTCAGTGCTGGTTAAGTGTACGACCATAGAGACAAACTGACTGTACTCTTATTAACAAGTAGGAATTGCCTTTCTAACTTAGAGGTAAATAATTTTTTTGATTTAGGAACTTTACGTGATTGCACAGCAAAATTCTAACAAGAAGCTTCCTCTCTTTCTTTGAAAACAGTTAATTCAAGAATAGTATCATTAGCATAATGGTATTTTGAGAACCCATCAAAAGCAACTCTAGTTTTTCAAGCAATATGACAGGGAAATACTAGAAGAAATATTTAAAGAAACTTCTGTGTTGTAAGAGTCTCAATTTATCATGTCAGAAAAATTCAAGACAGGATCCTTCACTTTTTGCATCAATAAAACTAAGAATAATTTAAAAATTTATATCTAGGCAGCGGCTTCCAATAAAGTAATCATGAAAATAAATTTAACAACTGCTTCTCATCTTGAGTGACAAACGGAAATCAAGTAACTTTTCTTTAAAAAGAAAAACAAAGGTTCTTGGTCAAATAGTTGTCAGGACAGCAAACTTGTTTTATTTGCTTCACAGCAAATATGTTTTAGGATAGCCAACTTAAACAAAAATGTTTATCTTTTTCTAAAAACAAAATATTAGCTTTCTTTAGCTTAAGGAACAGAATGATGTACTACTTACATTCAAAAGCTTCTTCACTGTCATTGTCTTCATCAGAACTGATTTCAGCATATTTTGGTTTCTCATTAACTGTGCTACGTTTGCGCTTGTTCATTTTCACACGTTCACAAAGTGGCATGGTGGATTCAATTTCTGCCAGGAGCTCAGGAGGCAACTCCTTTAACACTGACTGATCTATGCTACCTATTAGTGGAAAGTAAGAAGAGCAAATGTGAACCTGAAGACAAAAAAGAGGGCCCAACACTACAATCCTTTCTGAGGAACCACTTACAGGATATCCATTAACAATATCACAGTACCTGGATGTATTTGACAGACCTTTTTAAAGTTGCACTTATTGTTCAAAGTACAGTTAGAAATTAACACAATAAATTGCATACACATTTCCTTAAAAAAAGAAATATTATGAGATATACAAAACAAATTCACACTGCTGAATTATCTTTGTAAAATTATATTCCTGCTCTACTTCCACAAAGCTTAGCCTTTTTTCAGTTCATCTTCTGAATTTAACAGGTTTTCTAACAGTGTAAGTAAATTATGGATTCTTAGTGCCTCATTAACATTTCTGTTTATTCTCATTCAAATTAATTAGTTTACACAAGAAAGTAATATTCCCTTTTCCAGTAAGGAAGGACAATCTGGTAAAACCTTTGGGGTCTTACCCCTAAATACAGGCCAAACCATTGATTACCCAACCTCCGCCTCAGATTTTTTCTTACCTCCTACTGGTAGTTTTATGACGTAACACAAATTTTTGGTTGATTTTGTCACAAAACAAAGTTGAATTTTTTTATTTAATACAGACAAACAGCTAGCTGAATCACACATCAGGTTTCTTTTCCACAGTGGTAAACAGGTAGACAACCTCACAACATTCTCATCACATTTTGAAACTAAGAATAGACCCCTATGCAGTCTGAGTGAAGGAGATTTGCAGTCAAAATTCTTCCAACTGACGCAAGGAAACCAAATTAATTCAAAGATATTTCTTGGGGATTTGTTTATTTCATGTCTTATCTTTATTTATTAAAGAATCTATTGCACAGATTTGAAGATTATCAGGCTACACTCTTGATCTTTTTCCAGCAACAGAACAAACATAAGCCATGAGTGCCTCTCTTTCCATGCCAAGGCATTCTCATATTATTTTAGGAAGGGAATCACCTGCCAATTGTCACACATACACACTCCTCCCAGAAAAACATCTTCTGGATGATAATACACTTTTACATTGCATTCACTACATCATCACCCTAACTTTGTAGAATTTATTCCATTTTCACACTACTATCCTAACTTCTCATGCACGAATGGTCTTTGTATGTTTTTCTTTCTCTCTTTAAAACATCTTTAATTGGAATTAAATGAGCTTAAATATGAGATTCCAGAATCAAAATTTTTAAAGAAGTTTCATATATTACTATTTTCACATATATCTACAGCCACAAAAACTTCTTAGAAGCAACAAAATCAATGATTAGAGAATTATTTTAATGTAATTGTCAAAAATATTCAGCAAGTCATCTCCTCTAAGTGCATTTAAAAACCCCACAATTTAACTTCAAATACTGGGGGTTTTGAAGTGAGGTGGGGAAACATATACTAAATAAAATGATAGCAAAAGTTGTCCCTGCTTCCTTCATGCTGTGGTCACGTATCTGTATGTGTTAAGTGGCCATCCTTATATAATCATCATGTGCCAAAGCTACCTAAATTCTCAATATTGCTTTCAAAAATATTAGAGAACATGTCATAGTCTGGTTGACCGTGTTTCTGTGACATGTTAATCTCTGTGGGCTGGGCACTTGACTTCAGACAGGCAGAAGTATGCCAGCATGGGCAGATCACGTCCTCTGTGTAGCAGCAGCTGACTAGATGACAGCCAGGTCTAATCTGGATGCTGCACAGCTGTGCACCTGAGCAGAGGTGCCCCCACACTTTGAATGCCTGCACAGTGCCTGAAGAGCTTCACATATACAAGTTTTAAGACAATTTCCACAGGTGAAATAGATAAAGAGCCCTAGATCCTGGTTTTGTAATATGTATATTCAATTTTATGCCATTGGTAATTTAATTAAAATCAACAGGACTACACACATAGCACAAAGTCTACAGTAAATCTGGCTAAGCAAAAACATTGCAAAAGACAGCTACAAGTAAAAGAGTAAAAGTTGCATTAAATCCCCAAACTGCAAACAAAACTCACAGGTTACTCTCCTGCCTCCTAGGAATATCTGTTCTTGCTTTCTTTCCCTACTGATTCTTTGTTTTGTACTCAACATTTAAATATAAATAAATTATCACAGTGTTCATTACACATTAAGTATTTGTAAAAATAATTTTATTTCCATCTCAGAAGTTCCAAGTTTTTATGTTCTCCAGTGCTAAATTCAACTAATGCTTGAATTGCACTCTGTCATGCTACAGATATTTCAGATGGTAGTATAAGCTTACCCCTTTTTTTGCTATGAAAGAAGTAAAGCTTACTTTATTCAAGTAAGGAACAGCAGAAAAGAGAACAAATAGAATTATTATGAAGTTCTCTATAAGCTATCACTAAAGGGTTTTTTTCTGTCACAATGTTCCCTGGACTAAATGTGTCAAATGCCCAGTTTCCTTAGCTGCTGAGGATTGTAAATAACCAAATCTATAGAGTTTTACTCATGCAGTACAAAGGTGTTAAGCATGACTGCACATTCATGTACAATTCTAATATACATGGAAAAGGACTTATCCTTTTTGAAGAAATTCAGGAATATTCTGTACTTTGGGACAAGTCATGAGTTTGTTAATACTTATTTTCCTGTATTATTTTATGTTACCTCAAGTCAGTGCAACCCAAAAGTCACTGGAAACATCTTACTAAATTCCTTCTATGATACCTCCTTATGTTGTAATGAAGGTACTGTTTATTTGTTCAGAGGAATAAAGAAATCCTTAAAAGAATCCAGATCATTGTAAGCATCCGGTTACATGGCAACAAGCATTAGGTTATAAAATCCATGCTAATGCCTTTTCAGTTTATGGGAGACTTTTCTAAAACAACTAAAAGAATATGCAACACAAGCTTCTTTGAAATCTACAAAACCATGTATGATCATTTTCATACATACACTCTGCTTGCTGGAGAACAACAAGTTCTTGGTTTTGTTTCATTGCCATTAAAAAAAAGTTCCTTAGAGAAGATCTTCAGAGAATCATAGAGTCATAGAATATGGTGAGTTGGAAGGGACCCACAAGGATCATTGAGTCCTACTCCTGGCCCTGCACAGGACACCTCAACAATCCCACCATGTGCCTGAAAGCATTGTCCAAATGCTTCTTGAATTCTGCCAGGCTCGGTGCTGTGACCACTTCTCCGGGGAGCCTGTTCCAGTGCCCAACCACCCTCTGGGCAAATAACCTTTTCCTGATATCCAACCTAAACCTCCCCTGACACAACTTCAGGCCATTCCCCTGTGTTCTGTCACTGGCCACCACAGAGAAGGGATCAATGCCTGCCCCTCCTCTTCCTCTCACAAGGAAATCATAGACTGCAATGAGGTCTCCCCTCAGTCTCCTCTTCTCCAGGCTGAACAGACCAAGTGCCCTCAGCCACTCCTCATATGGCTTCCCCTCCAGATCCTTCACCATCCTTGCTGCCCTCCTTTGGACATTCTCTAAGAGTTTAATGTCATTTTTATATTGTGGTGCCCAAAACTACAAACAGGACTTGAGGTGAAGTTGCCCCAGTGCAGAGCAGAGCAGGACAATCCCCTCCCTCAACCAGATGCTGATGATGGGCCTGATACCTCTCAGGACATGTCTGGCCTTCCTGGCTGCCAGGGCACTGCTGACTTGTGTTCAATTTGCTGTCAACCAGGACCCCCAGGTCCCTTTCCACAGTGCTGCTCTCCAGCCTCTTACTCCCTAATCTATACACACAAGCAGGGTTGCTCCATTCCAGGAGCAGAATCTAGCACTTGCCCTTGGTAAACTTCATATGGTTGACGATTGCCCATCTCTGATTTTTTGAGATCTCCCTGCAGGGTATCTCTGCTCTTGAGGGAGTCAACAGCTTCTCCCAATTTAGTGTTGTCGGCAAGACAATTCAAGAATCTTCATCTTCTACTGAATGTCCACTAATCCTCAAAATAAAGTGTTTTCTTACCAAGCAGTTCTTTACAATAGAGTTAGAGATCAGCCAGAGAACCTAAGCTAAAAAGGAATTAGTCTGTAAGCCTCCTCCCATATTCTATTACAGTCTGTGAAGCTTTTCAAAGTGTTTTGCTTGTGTAGTAGAAAGATTTCTATAAATATCTAGAGGATGTAGTATTCCCCTTCTCCATAAAAGGCTTAAAACATTAATGGAAAAGCACAGTTCAGTATTGTTTTCTGTAGCTTCATGTTTGTAGAACAGTTTTAACTTTAGCTAATATGTATGCATATCTAATACTTAGAGGGATCACTTTGCCTTGAATTTGCAAGTCAAATAGCTCTTCCTGATGCAGGCAGATCATCCTTCAAGAGATGTTAAACATCAAAAAAAGGTAACATCCTTATGTACTTTTACTGGACCCATTCAATATGGACAGCACAAGTATTTTTTGAAACAACAATTGGTGAGTTCATATTAGTTTCACCTTCTTGATATAAGAACTTCCAACAAGCAGCTATGGAAAAGGGGATGATTCTTGCTAGTGCTTAAGCAGAGAGGCTGTTCTTGTCACCAATAACACAAATAACACCAATAAATTCTGTTACTTTCTTAATAATGATTTCTCTTTGCTTTCCTAACTATGGAAAATAGTAGAGTATAGGTCTTGGTACTATTTCCTATGAACTAACAAGCAATCAAGATTCAAAAATACACATAGAATTCTAAACTGGATTGCTAAGAGACATTTAATACAGTGGAAACATAAATATTATAGTTCCTATTTTTGTGCGCTAATAGTTTGTAATAAGCAAAACAGCATTTAATGTGATTTCATATTTGTAATCTCTCTCTCTCTCTATAAAATACATCTTGTATTTTAAAATGCAACATTTTCCAGCTATGAAGACATTATATGAAAACACATAAGGGTCTAGGAGGAAAACAGTGCCACCTGTTTGGGGTAAGAATATGAATACTTACTTCACGTTTCTCAGCGTTTAGAAACTGAAGTTTAACCACTCCTCATTTTCTTGAACTTTTA